ATCAGGATCAAAGCTATCATGGCCGAGGTGAAGTATCGACATTCCTACATGATCAGGTATAAGAAGGCGTGGCATGGGAAGCAGAAGGCCATGGCTGAGGTCTATGGTGATTGGGACTATTCATATGCTTTACTCTCTAGACTAATAGCCGCAATGGAGGAGTCCAACTCTGGGATTGTTTTCGTGTTGTGGTACAACAATGTACAAACTGAAGATCAAGTTCGAGTACTGAATGAGTTGATGTTTCATTGTCTGTTCTGGACATTCAAGCCATGCATTGACGGGTTTGCCTTCTGCATGCCAGTGATCCAGGTATTGTACGGTCTACACATTGTTGGCCTAGTTCATTTTTTAACTAATCTATATATACTAACTAAAATTCTTTTTAACAGGTTGATGAAACTTTTCTTACTAGGATGTACAAAGGAACTCTGCTCATTGCCACTGGCGTTGATGGAAATTTAAGTATTTTCCCCTTGGCATTTCCATTAGTCGAAGGGGAGAACAACTTAAGTTGGCATGATTCTTTGACCAGCTACACGAACACATCACACCAAGGCAGGGCATTACGAGTATATCCGATCGACATGTCGGGATTAAGCACGGCGTGAATGGTTTTCCCGACGAATGAGGGTGGACATGGCGCTGGTGTATTCGACACTTTCTTGCAAATTTCCACCACAAACTTGGGAAGAAGAAAGACATAAGAGATCAATTGTGGAGTGCAGGTACTAATGTAATTCGTATAAATGGCATGGAGCTACCTGAAACCTTGAGGCAGGGATGCTGGAATTGGTTGCTCGATTAATATTGCCTCAAGGCGCGATCCGGCAGGTGCCACTCCACCATATGCCAACATATCAATGACACCTTGCACAACCACGTCTCTTCATCCTCGGGGTGTCTAGGACAATGCATCTCGACCGCTTCATGTGGATATGGATCCCATATCACCTACAGTCATTAATAATTTGGAATTAGTACAAATTATATCCACTCCAATTAAAAAAATTAAATGAGGAAATTTGACATTTTTACTTGGTTCCACCAAGGCTTATCAAACTCAGCACGATAAAACAGTAAAGAGTGCTCTGGCTGGCAGTCGTTTGTATTTGTTCTGATCCACCTTATTAAGGAAAGGTACGTATATAAGATCACTAAATTCGCATACTTGGAAGGAATGGAGAATTCACTAAAAATGCATATTTGGCAATAATCTAAATTGACTAAATTCGCTAACTTTGAATATATCTAAATTCACTAAAATTACATACTTGGAAGGAATGTTTAATTCACTCAACATGCATACTTGGCAATAATCTAAATTCACTAAATTCGCTAACTTGGAATATATCGTAATTCATTAAAATGCTAAAATTGCATACTTGGACTAAATTTAACTTAAATTAAACTTACTTGACACCAAAGGAGGGATTTGTTACATCTCATAGCTCCTCATTTGACAACCAGAATTGCCGCGGGTCTCAAGGTGCAAACATCGGAAGATGCTCCCATGCCCAAAGCTGGAGTATGAACATCCCACCACCAGCTTGTTTTGCTCCCAACCTGGAGCAAGTACACAGCTCTTGATAGATCCCAGCTAAGACGGCCGAACCCCAACTCTTTCTCCCGATCTCGTCCCAGTCACCGAGGAGCAACGACAACCACATGCCTTGTATCAACCAGTTTGCCTTGTCGGGAAACAAAAATCCACCAACCAAGCCAATGAGATAGACGCGTGCATACCGCTCCACTTGATCTTCGGGGGTGTTTGGGCCTAAATTAACCTCAATTCGAATGTGTTCAACAAGCCACATGATCGCTACTTGCCCCGCATTCAGTGGTGGATGCCCAACCCCTTCGACGGGCATTGTGGTCGGCATGTCGAACCCCAAACGCTGGAGAATCAACGGCCCCTAGCCATCTTCGAGTTTTCTCAAGTTGCCAATGATGGCCTCTCAGTGACTGGCAGCCCGGTGAGGATGGCAACGTCTCTGAGAGTGATCGTCATTTCCCCCTTAGGAAAGTGGAAGGTATGCAACTCGGGGCACCATCGTTCTGCCATTGCAGTCAGTAGATCGTTGTCGAGATAAAACCGCATGAAGGGCCTCAGCATGTGCAAGCCCGTCCTCTCTAGATAGGGCTCCAGTCGAGGATGCCAAGGGGGCAATCGTGTTGTCCCACGCTGACTGATGGGAATAAGTGATTCCTACAACAAAAAACACTATTTTGTTAATAAAAGGGAAGCAAAATAAAAACTTTTAAAATTATGAAATAATTTACAAATTTATACCGAAACGTAGTGTCTACCGGATTATTGTCCCAAATTGCACGGGAGCGATGTTGTTCCTGCTCAGTTAAATACCTTCGATTCCTTGGGCCAGGATCGATATACAATCGAGGGTCGTATATCTCAGCGCCCATCTATAATTTTTTTTTAATCAAATCAGATCGTTTCGAATACATTTAAAATATAATCAGAAAAGAAAAAAAATTACGTACTCTCAGAGCCTCTTCGTCCATTTTTTGGCGAAAGCTTGAGAGAGTATCGACGGAACTTTAGAGCGAAGGATTGAAAACAAAAATAAACTCTAGTAATTCTTTCTGATATGGAAGATCAGATTTGGTCGCAACCATAGAGCATACTTAGAACGAAACTAGAGTGAAGGAATGGAGGGAGAAAGAAGTATTAAAATGGTGGTGTGGTGTGGTGTGGAATGAGTGGTATTTATAGGGAGGAGGCACTGGAATTTCTTCACAGAGCAATCACGGCTCTCCTAAAAAATGTGAATTGACCGCTTTCATCGAAGACCGGGAAGGGCGAGGATCGCTGACGTGGCTCCCTTTGAGGCGTCGGATCTGGAAGAAAAACCAAAATCCGTGCCTCACCGCATCAAACGGTAACAGTGAAGGGCGCGGGGTGACGCGGATTGGTGATGTGGACAACCGGGCATTCCCCGCTTTTGTCCATGACGGTGAAAAGCCCGCACTCGTCCACGTCAGCGATCCGAGTCCCCCCCCCCCCCCACCCCCCATTCATCGTTACCGTCCGATGCGGTGAGGCGTGGATTTTGGTTTTCTTTCCAGATCCGATATCTCATCGCTGTACACGTAAACGGTGATAGCTTCACCGTTTTCCTCTACGACGGTGATACCTTCACCGTTTTTCTCCACAACGGTGATAAACTTCACTGTCATAGTCAACGACGGTGATTACTATCACTATTGTAGTTCATTGCGGTGATGTTGAATACGTATTATGGGAAATATTTTTATAACTACTGTATTTTGAGAATGTTTTTTAATAACTAGTGTATTCTGTGATTTTTTCCGCGAAGATAAGAGTATGATCACTCATTGTGATTTGATATTCTATTTGTTCATAGATCTTAAATCGATCGTCCATTAGAATTATCATTGGCCTTTAATCTTTAGCGTTGGAAGTGCTTCCACACCGGAATATCTCAAAACATGCCTCCATCATAATTTGGAGAAATCTGCTATTCCTTCCCAAGTTCCAACACATACCATCATCATATGTAACTTTGGACCCCCCAAGCCCATCTTGTAGATAGACACACTTCAGTCCTGCTGCAATAGGAAGGATATGTTTGATGACCCAAAACTAGAAGAAAAACGATCGAGCCCAAGTGGCCAAACCCAACAAGCATATCCTCCCTGAAAACCAGGTATAACTTTTTTTTTTTCCTTCTACAAAAAGGGCGGACAGAAGACGAGCCGTGAAGTCAGGTTGATTGAGCAGGTTCCATAACCATAAACATGTGAAGCTAGAGGTGAGTGATCTTATTAAAGAGGGAAGGCAGGCAGCATAGCATGTGAGCCTGAGGAAAGGAAGTGAGCTAAGAAAAGAATGGCACTGTGGGAGTGAGTGTATATATTAAAGTAGTGTGTGTGGGGCAGTACGTTAGTAATAATGAAGTGTAGTGTGGTCAACCCATATTTTAGGGAGCATGAAGTTGGTTTGGCATGTGACCATAATTTAGAGAGATGGTTGCCATTTGCCACTGCCAAGTAGTAACACAAGTGAGCAAGCAAGTAGCTTCCTTAATGTTGATACCCGCCGCGTTTGTTAAATCGTACTGTATCAGCGGTTTGATCGGAATTTTTTTTATTGGAATCTAAACTAAAAGGGGTTTTAAAAATAGGAAATGATTGAACCCGGTTAAACAACCGTTTTAATATAAAATAACATATTTTTCCGGTACAACCTAGAATGCTATTTTAGCATTGATAATATTTTATTTTATATATATATAGTGGGTTCGATTCACTAGCTGGCTGGATCCTCCCCTGTAGCACAAAACCAATCATGTCAATTTATATATAGGGTAGGTATTGCGTGGTTCTTTAAGAGGTATGGCCTTAACTCCAGAACCAACTCCATAATTATACTCGAATCCTCCGTATATAGTTGCATGTGTGATATATTAATGCCTTTGACAGTTGTAAGAAGTATGAGATAGTTTCCCCTGATTGCTTTACGAAAAGGCAAGCAATAGCCAATCCATGTATACAAATCGCAATACAATTTCTACTCAATCAAGATTTGGATATACTACTACTACAGTTTACATAGTGTATCTTTGGTCCAAGATGTCTGGTGATGGCAATGGGTTATTTCGCCATCTCTAAAGATGCTCGTTCAGAAAGACTAGTTTTTTGTTTATAGGTACGTTGTTTCTAATAGACATATGGATATGTAAGAGATACAAATAGTGCTCACACTGGCGTGGGTGTTAATCCAATGCAAGATGGCGAGTGAACGTGAGAATAATTATGTTTTTTGTTTTTGTTTTTGTTATAGCTAGAGTGGACATTGTGGATGATAAAATCTACATTGTGCATCAGAATGCGACATATATGCATTTTAGCAATAAGCCACGGACCTTGATTAATTGCTAGTTTAATGTTATCTATGTTTTGTTTATCTTCTTTAAGAGTTGATTGCACGTATAAATCAATCATTCTTCACTTTATCGCGGTATAAGATGACTTGTACGATTAGGTGCAAGTTCGCAAAATGATAGTTGGAACAGGGGTAGGCCGAAACTCGTTTCAAATTCACACAGCAGCATCGTCATCTTCACTGTTAATACCGAGATATGAAACCCGCTTCGTATCAAAATCAAGAATAAACGGAAATTTCTCATAGCTAAGACGAGATTGACAAAATGGATTTTCATTTATCTACTTAACCCACCATAGCAAGTGATCAGAGATTTGGAGCAAAGTGATCTCGAGTGCCAAGCAAAGTCCACTCCACACAAACCCCACAAATATATCATTAATTAGAGAGTCAGAAACGAAGAGACACAAAACATCGATCCCATTAAACTATTCCTTCCCCACAACCACAACGAACGTGCACTTCCCTCATTTCCCTCCCTCTTCACTCTCCCCCACAAATCTACACTCTCCTTCCTCTCTAACCTCACTCACTCACCAAAAAAGAAGTAAGCAAAAAAAAAAAATGTCGTCCTCCGGCCACCACCACCTCTCCAAAACCGACTCCGAGGTCAGCAGCCTGACCCCATCCTCCCCCGGGAGATCGTCCCCGCCGCGGAGCACCGCCTACTACGTGCAGAGCCCGTCGCGCGACTCCCACGACGACGATGGCACCACGACGGGCAAGAACACAACGAACTCGTTCCATTCCACTCCGGTAATCATCAGCCCGATGGGCTCCCCACCGCACTCCCAGCACTCCAACTCCTCCCTGGGCCCGCACTCACGGGAATCCTCCTCCACCCGCTTCTCCGGCTCCCACCACCGCAACAACAACAAGAACGACAACAACCACCACCGTCGCGACGGTGATGAGGACGGCCGGAAGGGCCGCCGCCGCGGTGGAGGAGGGAACAATAAGCCGTGGAAGGGGTTTGATGCGATTGAGGAGGAAGGGCTGCTTTTCGACGGCGACGGGTCGGCTCACGGGCTGAGTGCTCGCCGGTGCTATTTCCTCGCGTTCGTTGTTGGGTTCGCGCTGCTTTTCACGGTGTTCTCGTTGATTCTTTGGGGGGCGAGCAAGCCGCAGAAGCCCACCGTCGCCATGAAGGTAAACATTTTTCTTCATTTCCAATTTCCCATCTCTGTTCCTGGTTAATTAGGATCACTGCATTTCTTCTTCCTTCCTTCCTCTTTTTTTTTTATCATTTCCTTAATCAGGATTTTGCAATAGTTTTAATATTATTTTTAATTAAATATCAAGGCGACCTAAGTTTCCGTGAATTGGACTTTAATGCTGAAAGATCCTTAAAATTTCTTTTTCGTTTTGTTTCGGTATTTATACGTATGTATACGTTATGTGTACGTTAGTCGGTAGTCAACCTTATTATGTTCACTTTTTTCTAAAATATAGTTTATATTTAAAAAAAATTAATCACGAGATGCAATCAACCAGCATATTTTACGGCTGATGAAAAATGTAGGACTTTGGCAGGGTCGGAAATTTCGCTAGCGAGAAATGTAATTGTGATTAAAGTGACTACAAAGAGTACTTTTAGATGAATCTTGCTTTAAAGTTCAAACCTAGTTCGAAGTTACTCTCTGCTAAGTCAATAATTTCAATTGTCCTAAAAAGAAGTAGCATCTTGTTAAATTCTAGCATAATTCTACATACTTCTAGCCCTGGGAGCTAGACAATGACAAAACGTGTTGTCTAGATTCTAGGCATACAATTAGAATTTTATAATGCAAAGGCCTAAGCAAAGTTGTGGACGATTAATTGGGGTTAGAGATGATTAGTCGAAGTAAGACGTGCTTATGCGTGCTGGCAAAACTAGGGATCAAAAAAATTAGTAGCTAATATTCGCAAAATGACTCCATCTCCGGCAACCCTATATTAAACGGATCCTTCACTCTTCCTTCCTCAAATTGGAATTCCAATTCTAGGTTAATGAGACAAAGACTCTGAAACTCAGGAATTGCATTGGCCTCTCCTTTTCGCTCCATTCATTTCACCCTCTGCCCTGCTCTTCGATGCTACCGACTGTAGAGCACTCACAATCCACGAATTTGGCAGTTCTTCTCACGATCCTGTAGACTCAACACTATGCCCTACATAGGAGCCACAACCCACGAGTTCTTTAGTTCTCTAGCTCCGGTCGCCTTGACCCTCTGCCCTCGTCTTCACCATCGTCGATTATAGAGTAGTCAGAAGGCACAACGCTTGTACAAACTTATGATTCTAAGAAATCATTATATATTTTGATTGTTGTTAAAAATTAGTTAAATTATTAATCATTTGAAATTGAACTAAAGTTAAGAAGTGCTTTAAAATTATTATTTCTATTAAAAACCGTTGTTTTTCGATTAAAACACCTAAAATCGCTTAGACGTACTACGCACTAGGAAGGACCCCCAGCTTCTACCTAGCACTTTACAAAGTACTTTTTCTTTATCAGTATCCTCTGATTGCTTTTGTTTCGGCTCAAAAATATAATGAATTTTCGTTGGGATGAATGGCCTCTGTAGAGCATAACGTTCGACCAGTTCATAGTACAAGCCGGCGCGGATTTCTCAGGCGTAGCGACGGAGATGGTGTCCATCAACTGCTCCGTCAAGCTCACTTTCCGCAACACCGCCACCTTCTTCGGCGTCCACGTCACTCCCACTCCCCTGGATTTGTCCTACTCTCAGCTAACCATCGCCACCGGAACCGTAAGCCGCTATTAATTAATTAATACTACGCTCAAGACTTTGATTAACACTTAATCCCACAATTAATGATTGAAGCATTGGTTAATCTCTCTGTGTGCAGGTTAAGGAGTTCTATCAATCGAGGAAGAGCCAGAGAACGTTGACGGCGACGGCGAGAGGGAACAAGATCCCGCTGTACGGCGGGGGAGCCGAGCTGGGCAGCTTCTTGAAGGGCGCGCCGGTTCAGCCCGTGCCGCTGGCGCTCAGCTTGATGGTCCGGTCGAGAGCGAACGTGTTGGGCCGGCTGGTTAGGCCCAAGTTCTACAAGAGGATCCGTTGCGTTGTGGTGATGGACCCTCGCAAGATGAACTTGGCGATTCCCCTGAAGAACAAATGCACCTACCAGTGAATCTGATCTATTATTGCCTCTTGTCTGCTGTCAGACGTTGGTAGTTGGTCTTTTGGGCCCATCATGAGCCCAAAAAATGGCATGCCCTTGACCTTGAGTAAGGTGTTAGATACCATCGTTGTAATTTTGCTATTTACATATATAGATGAGATATTTTCATTAATAAAATGTCAATGTCTGCATAAAGGTTAGGGCAGCTAGAATGGTACTATTTCTTTCACAGTTTTTTTTTTTTATGGATGATGAGACCAAGTATTATTACCAAAACGAAGTAAAAGAAAAGAGGATTCAAGGCCACTAAATGGAAGAAAAAACCCACACAAATGTGGGACAAATAAGAAAAAAAAATGAATAAAGAAAGTAGAAGATGACAACAGGCTACAAAAATGGAGAAAAAACAAATTCAAACAAAAAAGTCAAAACCAGCTTACATCAAAAGTCAAGAAATGAAAGAGGAAAAAGAAGAAGAAAAAGAAAGAAAAATTTTGATACAACGACGACAGATATTTACTCACCCTGCCCCAATCCTCAACCACTGCTGAAAATAGTCATCAAAGATAAGTCCAAAAGCCTGCAGCCACCTGCTGACCATCTGAACAATCTTACTGCAAACCTCAGACTGTGTAGCTTCCAAATCGCGGAAAATTCTGTTGTTTCGCTCGTTCCAAATGGACCAAAACACCGCATGTGGTAAGAACTTGACACAATCCTTGAGTTTTGGATCACACCACAATCCTCTCCAAACCGGGAGAAAACAATTGATATTAGTTGGAAACAGACCGTGAAACTGAAATATCTTTGTAAATTTTGCCCAGATTGTCGTTGAAAAGGAACATGAGAATAAGAAATGTGAGACGAACTCCTCTTAAAATTTGCATGGAGAACACCGGTTGGTAAGAATCATGCCTCTCTTCCTCAAGTTTTCTAGTCAGTCTGATTCGCACTGAAAAACTGATTTGTCTAATGGGATCTTACAATACGAAATCACAGATTTTGGTTTTTTTTTTTTTTTTTGCGTATTAGCATTGCATGCAGAGTTGGACTACTTGAAGGTTGGGCCGATTTGGTGTCAAGCCAGGCTAGCTTGTTCTCAGGGCATATTATTTTGGGCTCATAATTCTTCACCGAAAACATCCAGGCCATCGAAGTCCCACTTTAAACTCAGAATCCAAAATATAAAAGTCCAAGCCCAATAAGAGCTCATTTACAAAAATATTTATCAACTGATCTGATACGAAGACAGCAGCGGATCTATAGGGCCGCCCTCAGGCCACGGTCCAGCCCTCCCTCGATCCAGAGCTAGTATAACACTCGTAAATTTTCGATTTTTCGGTCTTCGTTTCAGTGTTCGTCGTGTTACGACCCAACCCTATTCGCCTTTTTTTCTAATGTGGCCCAGTGCTCTACCCGATTATGGATCCGCCGCTGTCCGAAGACAACATGTGATGCGCTTTTTATTTTTGCATGCATAACCATGTTTTTCATTATGTCCTCTAACAATCTGTAACATTATTGCAGAATGATTCATCATACGAGTCGTTGTAAACTGATTCAAATCGTAATGTGATGTGTGGACGAATTAACATGAACCAAATCACATCGAGTTATTTGCTGCTAATTAACATGATTATAATATGGCTTGCAGTTCCTGATCACTTCGAGAGCTATAGTAGACTAACTAATGAGAGCAAAAACCGCACTAGCTAGGGCGACCGAAGTCTCAAACCATGAGTTACTTGTACGTGTCGGTTCCGGTAGAGTGGTTGGCAAGGGAACTTGTGGAGTGGAGAAGCCTGGGAATGATGAGAAGAAAAACGGAATCCTCGTTTCAAGGGGAACCGACCAAAGTCCCAAAAGTAGCTAAAAACTTCAAAGGGAAGAAACACAACTTAAAACATAATTAATAAATGAAGGCGGCAGTCGGCAGAGCGGCCTGAAGTAACTTAGGAGATGGGGTAGGCGGCCAGGAATGTGGATTGAGGGGCCGGCCAGTCAGTCGGTGGAAGATGATCAAGGGTTTGGAAGTTGCGATTGTTAAATAGATGTATTGTTGAGAATGCATGTATAATATTATATATGTATTGTCGAATTTGATGCATTTTTGAATACAACGTTTGGTATGTGTGATTGTGTATGTCGCATCAGCTAAAAGCCGAGACAAAACAATCTCAACTCAACTATCTCAACAATCACAACTAAAAATTGAGATATAACAATCAGTCAAAATGAGTGATAGTTTCTGTCACATCACAGAAACAATACATGTATTGTTTCTGCTAAAAAAACAAAAAAAAACGATGCATTGTAAACAATACATGCATAATGACAATCTCAACAAAACTATCGCAACTTCCAAACGACCCCTAAAGCTCATAACAAATTAACAATGCTAAATAATAGTCCCCTTTTGTAGCATTTTGGACTCTTTTAGCTACTTGTAACTATGCTATAAGGGGGCTTGTCTTCAATGAGCATAGCTATAGGTTTTTACGTTCTAATTAATCGTGAAATCAGAATATATAGATTGAACTTTTTTGACTAGGTGAGGAACGCGCGTGTGTTACAAATTTCTTCGTCAGTAAGAATCCTTTGATCTCTTTACGTAGCACCATTTCTCATCACACAAAAAAAATATTCTTGTGTTATTAGATATTTCATAGTTTTAACGGAACCGCGCCGTAATCCTATGATTAGAAAGAAAACGGTAGAGAGTGGAAGTTCTAACATCATACATACTCATATAGTTGATGAAGAGCCACAAGGAATGGGACGGATGTGCCAATAATTGCGGATCTATCTTGCTGTCCATCATCAAAATATATTTAGAAAAAAAGGGTGGGATTTTGATGGTTTGATCATTGACACTACCAGATGGGAAGTGGGAATGGGGGCTTTTGATTACTCACTGCCATTTCAAATATGGACCCAACAATAGGTTGATGTATTGTTCCATCGTCTCAACTAAGCTAATTGCCACCGACTGCAAAGCAAAACGTTGCCATCTTACTTAGCACCTCAATCACTTCATTATCTTTAATTATATCATCATAATTAATCCATCTGATTTGCTGATTGCTTCACAATTAGATAACTATTGCGTCGAAAAAGAAAAGAAAAAAAGATAGCAATAGCTTGCCGCCATGGGGGTGCGGGCGACGTGCGGCATATGCCCGTATGCCGTGGAGTTAAACCCTTGATTTCAAGAGCTAAAGTGGGTGGAAAGAAGTGATTTATCGATAGATCTTGGTGACGTACTGACGTATCTGCCATTCATTTTGTTGTTGGTATTTATGTTATTGATGAATGTGAATATTTAACTTGTTAGAAGTTAGTTAGTCTCAGTAATCGCAAAGTCATTGTGAGGTCAACTATATGTCGTATGTCATTATATTAAAACGCATTCTCAAATCGAATTCAATTCAGGAGTTCAAATTTGTGCATAATCACCCGTGTTATGTAGTTAAACCTAACTGTTAATTTTGAGGGTCACGAAATTTCAAAAAACGAAGATTTCCCGATCAAAGATATTAATACCATGTATACCTATTGATATTCATAACTCAAGTTGGTAAAAGATTTCCGAGTACAGATCTCATGTCATTCCATGACACGTAGCCTGGTACTGTAAACTTGTTCGGTATTCAACGAATCGTGTGATAATACCGAATGCGTATGATTGGATTATGTCTTAGAAGATTATAGATGTGCATTTTAAATAATCGAAACGGCTGAGAACAAAGATGTTGTACGGGCATCTCGCAATATTTAGGTTGGACGTGACTGAGTTTAGAAATTTATATAAGGTGGTGCATTGAACGTAATCGAAAAGCAGGGGGTTTGTAGGGAAAAGATTTGGTCTGATTCACATAATTAAATTAAATTAAATTAATTCAGCATACCACCGCGGCCGCCTAATATTCTTTCTTCGCGTAAGCTTCCCATTGCCACTGGAATTTGAACGAGGAAATCGTGGCTGATTTCGTTTCGTACGCAGGGCGAGGGGCCCGGTTGGGTGGTTGGCCCGGTTAAGCTGGCCCGCCCATTCGCCCGTTGGTACAAAAAAACCATTGGTTAAGCCTCGTATTCAGAACCAGGCCCACTCCTCTTGAACTAGTGCAATTACGGGTCGGCTTGGCTGGCTGCCCAACCAGTTTGCGTGGCCTCAATTCAACCTCGTCACTCGCCACCTTTACACGGATGTTACCAAACCAAGTACCAACCAATTAGTACAACGGAAAATTAAACAAGAGTGGTTTGCACTTTTCAACCACAAAAAAAGTACGCCATATAAATGATTCATGCTCTTAAGGAGAGGGTTTTATGACCAACGATAATGTTGACACAATCATTACTAAATACATTTTGAGTGTTCTCTCTTGTGTTAAGAAAAAAATAGAATGTAAAATTGAAGTCTAGACAAGTTAGTCGGATAATTATCTGTAAATCTTGTCTGTTGAATAATAGCATACGTTAAGAGTTTCATGAGCAACTAAGCACTTCAGACAATTAAAGAACATAATCACTCTAATATCTCGCGTCGATAATTGCACATATTGAATCAACTAAGAACTCATACAGATCCCCGAAACACGGTGGACAAAGGTATAGCTTTGTGAACGGCTAGTGAATTAAATTCTTCCAATATTTGCTCAGGATTGGATGGCTTCTTGCTATGGGCAATCAATTCTGGCTGTGATTGCGTTAGAATCGCAAAATACCATGACACAAGCTTTTAGGAAGCCGGTTGCTCACCAGTTGTTAGTTGGCAATGACTTTTCCCTAACTAGCAAGCTTCTATTGTTTGGAGCTGGAAGGATCATGCGAATTGAAGAAACGAATATCCATTGTGTTATTATGCACACTAACACAGCAACTAGGGATTAAAAAAACACTACTCTCTACTAACCAAAATGGTTACTTATGCAAATACAATTAAAGAGATGGTTGGCAGCATGACGTTTTCAGTGGATCTGAAATCTTCTCCCATAGGGCTGGGGCTGAATTTAATTACTTTGATAGGGGGAATCTTACTCGTAGGATCCGGAAGATCAAAGAGCTAATGATTTGTTGATTAATTATCATAATTACCTACGTAATGACAATAGCAAATCATGTGGACCTCGTGGTTGTACAATTATATATGGTTGTAACAACGTGTTCTCCTAGCATCACCAAGTCGTCACTGTTTATGTCAGTTAGACCAACAATGATACTAAACAAGTTCTCAACCATGTTTAGCGGAGGCAAGATGATAACAAAGACTACTTGCTGGTCTTTAGGAAATGCAATTATAACGGGATCACAGATTCGAGATTATATAGATGATCAGTGATTGTGCATTGTAATCTCGTTTTTTACGAGGTGTTATTGAAAAATCATTCGAATGATTGTAGACTTCAAAATGTGGGATAATTATAATAGTGTGATAACAGATTGAAAGTAACGAATAAATGAAAACATTAAATTTTATCCATCCATTCCAGATTACAAATTCATCGTAGCCCGTAAAAACTTTTTGTAGTGGTAATACCACTAGATTTGAACCTCGAGGTCACAGGATCGAATCTCTTAAATAGTACTAACTACAAAAAAAGAAGTAAATCTATATATATCACCATTATAAAAAAAAAGTGCAAAAGGTCAAGATGGCATTTTATATTCAGCATATATGAATTGATTGAATTTTCAAATTTACTGAGCTATCCAAATTCTTCGTTAAAGACGAATTTTTGGCTCGAATTTCGCCTCTACCTCCAATAAACTGCAAGGCCTTTGTATGAAATTTTCTAAAACGAGATGTTTCTAATCAAATGCCTCGTTTTATAAATAAAAAATTGAGAATTAAAATTGTTACACCTCTCCTAACAATTCAAATTACCGCATACTCGCTACAAAAAGAATTTGTTTTTTTATCACATACCAAAATGCTGCCTTTCTTTTAACCGTCAAAACGGGTCATTTCAATTCAATCAACCACATAAGGAGACAAATGGACCAAAGATTCTCTCATCCAAGCAACCCCTACATCTCCTTCTTTGTAACGTTGTACATACTATGGAAATGGAATGCACACAAAAAGACGCAAAATGGTATCTGATTAGGGAGGAGCACAGCACACAATTGGTTAATCGCTGGACCTTTGTCTTTCCCATTTCCTTTATCCTTTTTCTGCAAGTTTTGGTTGCGCTTGCCCTGCCCTAGCTTTAGCTTGCTACTTACTTCTCCTTCTTCACTCACCAAAGAATGTCCTGCCGCCGCCGCCGCCGGTCGATCTCTTCCCTATTGTTGCCAAGTTTTTGGATTTTCCATATTCCTCCAACCATAAGGATTCCTTTCATTTGTTTCTTTCTTGTTGGCTTTGTTCATTCACTGGATTTCCTAAATCTTGAGCTTTATCTTCTTCATTTTCTTTGATGCAGATTAACATGTATGTGGATGCTCACTTTTGTACTGACTTTGCAAGTTCCAAGATCACACATAATCTTTCAATCAAACCATCTCTTCCACCCATCCGCTAATAACATGATATCTAGTGATAAGCACTGTACCTCTCTACTATGTTGACGGAAAAAAGTAGCACATCGTAGGGATGCAAATGAGCCGAGCTGCTCGCGAGCGGCTCGGCGTTCGACTCGAGAAAACCTCGTTCGAAACTCGACTCGTTAATAAACGAGCCGAACACGAGCTCACCTTTGTTCAGCTGGTGAAGCTCGCGAGCTAGCTCGACTCGGTGGCTTGTTGAGCTAAACTCGTGAGCTGGCTCGTTTAGAGCTCATGATATGTCTTGACATGTGGCTAGAGAGCCAACTCGATTACCAACTTATGGACGAATCAATCTATATCTTATGATTTTAATTCATATGGTTGTTAAATTATATATCTCACCATATATAAAGTTTAACACGTTGAGTTTGTGAGCAATATATCTTATTTTCTACTTTAAAAAGAAATTATGCATCATAAATTGCTTCGATACTATGAAATAACATGATTTGGAGTAGTTAAAATTTATTAACTAAATGATACATGATACCAACAAAGTATAATATGAGATTAGTTAACAAAATAAATCATACGTATTATGATATACAAAATGAAGTTTCAAATAAAAGTTAAGATTTTAATAAACAAGCTAGCTCGAGCTCGACTCGGCTCGTTAATAAATGAGCTGAGCTCGAGCTCGACTCGTTTATTAACGAGCCGAGCTCAAGCTGAGGTAAAACTCGACTCGACTCATTTGCAGCCCTAAGCACATGCTACGCCACTGGATTACCTCTCGTATGTTTGCAATCCTTTTGCCGGCGTGAAAATGTAAGTGTGTTCCTAGTTGTCGAATCGACACGACATGAAAGTGTATGCATATACTTTCATTATGTCATGTAAGGGATAATCTAACAACATCATCTCAATTGAGTCGCCGCTGCCCCTGTATGTTTCAAGCCTTTAGATTGGCAGAATAACATCAACGCGTGCCAAATAGTTGGACCAATATCCAAACATTTATACAAATAACGCTATTATCCAGATCATTTAATTAAGAACATGTAAAACTAATCCAACGATTTGAGCTCGAATTGAAGCCATCCACTCATACACACAAAGACACAATCGTCCCGATGCAATGGACCTTTTAGTCTGAACTAACAGAAAACCAACAAAAGAAACTAACCAAAACTTTGTGAGTTGAAATGACAACAGCCTGCCTCTTGTTGAAATGATGCCTAAGGAATATGTGTGCAGATGCTTTCCCCCCCAAATCTACCTAAAACCCCTTTTTAGCTGCAACAATTAGTTTAATTTTGACATGATCATCTTCTACTTGCACTCAACCAATCTCCATTTCTTTCCATTTTTCTAAATAACAACTTCCCCCAACCCCCCATTCCAACTTGTACAAGTAACCTTATCATTATGATTTTTTAATTTCATGAGTTACTGCTCCTCAAATTAACATATCCTTAATGTGCAGTGCTTAAATTTGAAGGAATCACATACACAAATTGAAAATGTAATGGAGAATTGATATACCAAACAAAATTTTACTAATAACTTGTAACCAAACAGGGAATCTATCTGTACATTGAGGGCAGCCAGCCAGGCCACAAGGATCCACCAATCATAACTCTCTTCTCTTATGTCAAAAACACACTGCTAATTGTCAGCTTTGCTTCCTACCTATTCTATTACTATTTTACCTTTCCAATTCCCCAAACCCCTTCCCCCCACAAAAACCCAGAAGAAGAAGAAAATGGAGATGAAGAATAAATAAATCAATTGAATTGTTAGAAGAAACCCGGAACCAAAAATTGCTCACACTACTCTAAAAATTACTAAATATCTGCCCAACTTGCTTTCCTAACAAAAAAGAAGAAAAAAAAAATTCTCTTCTCTGTCTCCATCATTCACCTCACTACCAGCCAACTCCCTGAATCTCCCCAACTCAACGGCCCCTGCTGCTCCACGCTTGCCAGCTGCCGGATTCTCTCCGCCGGTGTGATGGTGGAGCAGCTTGAGAACGACAACGAATCGAACGGGTTCGATTCCGATCCCGATTGGGCCGGCGACGATTGGACCGAAGACACCCACTCGGGGAAATCGAACGGGCACCGCGGGGACACCGATGGAAATTCCTCCCCCGAACAGCACACGGCGTCGTTTTCGTTTCCGGTTTCGTCGGCGCTAAGGAACGGATGCTCCAGAAGCATTGCGGCGGTCCATCTCGCCGCGGGATCTCTGACGAAGCAATTGGACAGAAATTCCTTCAATTCCGCCGACAATTCCTCCGGAATCGCCGGCGACTCGTCGCCGGCCCCAATTCGGACCAGGAACGAGAAGATGTTCGTCCCGGGCTTGTAATTCCACGCCGGCTTCCCGGTCAACATCTCGACGACGGCGCAACCCAGAGCCCAGATGTCACACGGCGGCTCGTAGACGTTCTCGTTGACCGATTCCGGCGCCATGAACAGAGGCGTCCCTCGAATCTCCACTTTTTTATCCCTCCCCTGTTTTTCCTCTGCTTCCCCTGTTCTCTTCGCCAATCCGAAATCCGCAATTTTAACTCCCCCATTCTCGAACACCAGCAGATTCTGGAGCTTGATGTCGCAGTGGACGAATCCCTTCCCGTGGATTTGATCCAACCCCTTGAGAATCGATCTCGTGTAACTCCTGACCGCCGATGCCGGCAATCTCCCGCCGGATTTCTTGACGTGATCGGCCAGGCTGCCGCCGGAGGCGTACTCGAGGAACAGATTGTGGAGGTTTTGTCCCCTCTCGAAGCTGATATCGTCGCCGAGGCAGCGGACGATGTGGGGCGAGTTTCCGATTTGGTCCAGGACCCGCTTCTCGTTCTTGAGCAAGTCGGAGTCCATGGCCTCGCAGGATTTCACCGCCATTACCGACGGCGAGGAGAAGTGGGCCCCCCTGCAGATTGCCAGGTCCACCGTCGATGAGCTGCCGCAGCCGAGTGAGTCGCCGCGAATCCAGTCCATGTTTTGTGGAATCGGTGGGGTTTCGGCGGCAGAGAGAAAAAAAAAACAGTGAGAGAAAGGTAAGAGAACTGTGGAGGAAGGAAGGAAGAAAGAGAGAGAGACTTGAATTTGGCGCAAAGAAGGAGGCGGTTGGGGTTTATATACGAGGCGTGGGGTGAATTGGATTAAGTTAATTAGAATGGGATTAGATGGGAAATTAAATTAATTGATAATATTACGGGGAGAGTGGTATAATAAATGCACGTGATAAGTAAGGCGGGATTTTTCGGGGGCGAATTCCTGAATTGGACTTTGAAAAGGAAATTAGAGAGAAGACGCCTTGCTTCTGATTTTTTTTTATTAAATATATTTTCTTTAAGTGGGGTTCGCGTTTACACCGTGGATGACGTATTCTTGTAGGCAAGGGTCGTTGAAGTTTTACCCTTTGGTAATTGGTCGTAAAACAGTGAGGCACGCGGAATAGAAATATAGAATGTGGATATGGTGGTTGATTTTGTAGAGTATTAAATGGAAGTAATTGGAAGATTCACTATAGTCTATAGATCTGTGGAGCACGTCTTTTACTCTTTACTTGGCCAGCCCAAGAACGAATGTGCTGGAAAATCTTGTTAGTATTATTTTGGCATGCATTCGAGGTAGAAAGAATGTGCTCTCTCTTGGGAAAGAATAATACTTCTACTGAGGTAGAAATTATCCTTGGTCTTTATTCTTTGAAATTTTCAGGTAGAGATCATCATCAGTCTTGGTGCGGCATTGAGATAGACAGGGACGGAGCCGGGATTTAAAATTAGGGGGACTTACAATTTTCCTCATAATGAAGAAAAAAATTAAGTTAACGAATTTTTTCCACATATTTACACAAATAATAGATGATTTAACTACGAAAAATAATAGGTGATTAGTCATTCATGGATAAAATTCCACCTTTCATTGCAATCAAAATACAATCACGGTCACAAGGACATGCAATGAAATCAACAAAAAATTAAGAACAATTACATAATTTAAGAATTAGATCAAACATTTTCTTGCATCAAATTCAAATGTAATTAAGGTTACCATAACAATGAGGGTGTTGTCTTGCAAAATTTCTGGCATCAAATGTAATTAAAGTTACCATAATGATGAGGGGGCTTCCTTGCAAAATTAAAAACACTGAAGTGTGAATAACGATGAGAGTTAGAAAAGGAATAAAAACTTGCAAACTAGTTCAGGTTTGTCTTTGACATGATTAGCCATCTAGGCACGTAGCGTTCACATGATCTTACAAAGTTATGTTAACTTAGAAGTATAAACAATTTTCATCTACGGATTCTCAACATCAATACCTTCGAGATCTCAACTTACAACTTTTGTTTTTTTGTTTTCAGCACTCAGCCGAAAAAACTAAAGATTTCATAATCATCATTTATACGTTGATAAATGTCCTTTTTATGAGTGTTCAAATCACATTTTCCGAATTGGATTTTTCAATTGATAAGGAGTTGTACAAGCCCAAATAAATTGTAGCACCCATCGCTCAAAATGGAAATTGTCTCTTTGGAATGGGATATAAGTAGCCCTAATTATGCAGCACAATTGTGACAAGGGGGTGGAATGGCCTATCAGAGTTCATGTATGTGTCTGTCTCTGGACAATTGACAAAGAAAATTGAAACAACGTGCATGTATGTCTTTCTCAAACACATGATTTGGAAGCATAGTTATACAGCTTATCATATATCATTGTCTGTCCCTTACAAATACATACATAGAGCTCGTAGAAGAAACAAATATGTAATGGGGGAAGTACTTTTTGTGTTCCCTATATTATAACTTAATTATTATTGATAATATCCCATAAATATGTTTGTTAACATTAAAATTAATGGCGGGGGATCGCCGTGCATGAACAGTGACATCTCATGCTGGAATCAAATCTAGATCTCATGAATATATAGACGTAAAAATGCCATAATTTAATATATATTAATTTTATTAAATTAGTAGCTAGATAGGTTCATATATGCATATCAATGACGACGTGAAGACGGATAAATCACCACTAGCCTTAATTAAGAGTGTGGGTATATATGCAAAGATTGCAAACTTAAACGTTGGGTTTATAATATTGGATTCGCCTAATAATTAATCACTTATAAAAATGGCGGATTCCCTAATCAGCTTAACTTTACTATAACAATGGATAAAGCCAAACATAACTAAAGTAACCCTAAAAAAAACTATATTCACATAACTTGAGCGAAAGCATATGATCATGTGGACTGGAATTTTCTTGAAGGTATGCTGAGAAAATTGAATTTTGCCTCGGTGGATAAAAGTAATTATGCAATGCATTACAACTGTAACCTATGCGCGCAGCTCTAGTATATGGTTCAACAAATTGAGATTATATGCCCTACTACAGGATTAAGACAAGAGAATTCGATCTCTCCCAATATTTTCCTCTTGTATGAAGAGAGATTATCGTCTCTCACAAAGAAAGTAGTGGAAGAAGGAATGTTGCAAGGGATTCGAGTTTCTAGAATATCAATATAGTATGGTATGGTATGACATGGTATGGTATAATATTGATCAGACATAGCATGTTAAATAAAAATAACTAGTTTGTTTGGCCACCAAATCAAAAATTGAACAAATAACAAAGAAAAACAATTTTTTTGCTCTAAAACTGGATATTTTATCATGCACGAATAATTTTGAAATCCCAAGTCTAAGCAAATAACAAAATCAAAGTGAGACAACTTTCACCATAATATCATGAATATTAACATAATTTCATATCGAGGCGTGATCTTCACTGCTCTTGGTGGAGTGTGGTTTGTAGAGCAAGGAGCACAAGAGATACATAATGCTATGATTGAGATTTGGATCTCGTTGGGGAGTAGAGATCGGTCGAGTGGCCTGCTAAGACGGATTAAAAAGTGCGCAAGATTCATGGTCTGATATGGTACACCATGGTCTACATTCTTTACTAGGTCAAACCAATAGATCAAAATAACACATAATACAGACTACTAACCAAACCAAATAATTTCTAACGTATATGAGTTAATGCATGAATTTTGAAACGGGCTAGTTATATTTTACCATTCCTAACAACATTAGTACTCATCACATAAATCTTGCACGCTTTCTTCAATATTTGTACGTACCTATGTGTGTATGTTGGACGGCCATTATCAGCGGGAGGGGGTTGGTTTCATTTGGACAATCCATTACCGACACTCACCAAAAACGTGGATTGTCAGTGAGAACAAAAGATTTTCGACTAAACATGTCCCCAAGATCGTTTATGTAAGAAAGACAACCACTTCTTTGTTGTCGTTGTTTTTTCTTTTTAAAAAAATAAATGTTTCCTTGTAATATAAGTGACGTGAGAAAAAGGATGCATATATGTAAAAATAAAAAAATATTGTGATTAGTGGCGTTGCCCACTGTTGAGGATCTTTGTTTTCTCTCTAATACGAGATATTGTCTGTTGTGCAATGAGACTGGCAATGTAGCTGTCTTTAATTAGACGCTAAACCCTTCCCACTCATGTCCAATGTAATCGATTTCGCATCCGGTGGAAGTTTGAAAACCAAGAAATGAAGAAACCAGAAATACTAGTTATAAGATTAATTCATTCGATTGGCATTCATGTTAATATATATAAATGTGAAGTAAGGTTACTGTTGCCAAAAGAAGTACATTTTGATCATCCAAATTTAATAAAATTGCAACTTAGTTACTATAATGTATATTTTACATTTTGATACCTCAAATTTATTTTTAATGTAAAATCATTGAACAATTATGTTTTAGTATCTAAACCTTATGATATTTTCGTACCTGCAATTTTTAAAATTTACATATTGGTCCAATTTTTACATTTCACTTGAATCCATGAAACCAATCCACCATAAAGTAAAAGTATAAATTTAGTTTGTGCCATACAAAATGTTGTATCACTCAACTGTAGGAGAAGATTCGACCATTTTGATCTTTGATGAGATTTTTACTTCAAAAAAACATGTATGATATCCATTTGAAATAATAATTATCATTTTTTGAAAGAACATTCTATTCGGTGATGTGACAACATATTTAGTAAAATATAATACGAGTACATTAAAATATTGATTTGTACGAAGTATTTGTATGACATTTTAATAGAACAATGTGTGAAAAAATCAACAATAACAAAAATCAAAAGTTAAAAGTTAATATAAGTATAAAAATGAACCAACCTTTCCATCATCTACTTCCTCTTCATTTCATTTTTCACTCGCCTTCCATACCCTTTCTTTATTTCTTTCTTTACCTTCTTCGTCTAACCCTAATTAGTATACTATTTGTATGTATTCTAATCACAAGTATGAATGGGTCCATACACGACTCACCAACACTCTAGAGAATTAATAATTGAACCATGAACCATTAACTTTTTCAGCTCAATGTCGAGTCCAATTAAAAATAAAGATATATGATTATTACTTATTAGAAAGTCATCATTTTCCACTATGGGTTTTGAAGGCGTGAAATTTTAAGCGAGTTCCCGTTTGTATTCATTTTGCATCTCTATAGAGTTTTTCTTTTTCACCCGGGCTAGATTTTCAACAATTATATGTTTGGCTAGGTATCTACACATATCAAATAAATAGTTTTTATTTTTCTATAAAAAGGTAAATAATTATCATCTTAAATACATCACCATATCAAATAATTATCATCTCTAAATCCTTCAAATTAAAGTAAATCTTTAATGGGATACCACATTTCCCCTCCAATTCGGTTTGGAGAAAGGTTGTTCCGGGAAAGATCTGTGTGTTTGTTTGGATTGCTACGCTTAAAAGAACTCTGACACTTGATGCCTTAAAGAAGCGTGGTGTGCAGCTTGCTAATCGTTGTGAGCTATGTTGTAAGGAAGAGGAATCGGTAGAGCATATCCTGATTAGATGCAGCTTTACCAGACAGGTGTGGAAAGCGATTGAGAAGGGATGCAATTTCACAAATCTGCCGGTGGGTGCTAATCTCGCAGCAACTATTGAGAATTGGCCTGTTTCTATTCCTAGCAACTTGGAAGGATGGGTTAAATAATGTGCTTTTCATGGTGTCTCCTGGTTCATTTGGCTTGAGCGAAACCAGAGAAATTTTCACAACGTCTCATACAGTCCAGATCGGGTTGCTACAAGATCAATTAAAAACATCTCAAGGTGGATCACAGCTAAAGGCAAAGCGGATCGCTTCTCAGTCGCTGCATGTCTTTAGGTGTTTCGGTACCGGATTGTTTAAGATGGGCGTCTGTCTGCGCCCCGAGGAAGGCTGGGTCTTTGAGCTTTTCTCTGGTCGCTTGAGTTTGGGTAGAGTTGGGAGGTCGCAGAGTCTTTGTGGAGGTCTGTTTGGGTGCTGAGCCGAGCACCGATTGTGTGTTAGGCTTTGTTGATCCCTTCGCTGGTTTTTCTGCTATAGCGGTTGGGAGCAGGGGGCCTTCTGGCTCCCTTGATCCTTTGTTCCTGCTTGTGGTCGTTTTTTTTCTCTTGTTCTTTTGTAATTCTTTCTTTTCTTTTCTTTTGTGTATCTTTCTCTTCGGCTGCACTCCTGGTGACCATTTGTATCAGACTCTTCTTCTTTTAATACAACTTTCACCTTCATAAAAAAAATCTTTAATGGGTTTTGTGCAAATTCATGTGCGTTATTGTTCATCACATCATAAGTGATAATTGACATCATTTTGACACAAATCGCATGTTTAAAATGACGGTTATGAAACGAGTGCACTGAATGCACCAAAAAAAGTGAGTACACCGAAGACGCCACCATATATATATATATATGGTAATGACTGGTGTACGTCGGGCATATATATATATATAACTGACTTGCCCAACCTCTGTTTAATTCTTGATCCTGTCTGAGACTCTTAGATTTGATGCAGGTCAGGGTGGGGCGGTCAGCAAGTCAACCCAAATTACATTTTGATACCAAAAATATTTTTTTTCTTACAATTTATTACCTAAATTTTATTTTTTACAAATAGGTCCAAAAACTTTGGTTGTAAAATTATATATTAGTACCTTTATATTTTTTACCTTGCATTATAGTTTCTAAACTTTTAAAACTTTACAAACTAGTCTAATGTGTCACTATGGGAATTTTCATATCACTAAATATTGCCAAGGGTCAGAGGTCTAAAAAGTGACATGTTTCTAACTTGACCCGATTCTACCCGACCCTTACAGGATTGAAAGATGATCCGACCCTGTATTGACCTTGTAGACAAACTGACCTAGCCCACCCTCAGGGTCGGGATGGGTAAGTGGTTCTTTAGGGCCAAGCTTACACCCAAATAAAAAGAAGAGTTCTTACACTACAGTAAACTTGGGTGTACTTAAGAAGCTAGTGATTAAAATAATAACATTGATGGTTTTTAATTATAGAGACTTATATTGCTATTAACTTCCATCAAATGGTAACAAAGTCATCGTTTAGTTTTTTTTTTTTTTTGCATAAGAGGAGGCAAAAGCCAAGAAGAGAGAGGTTACATGGGGGGTTGAGGAGAAGAGGAGTTACATTGGCGGGACACAATCCGCCTCTCAAAAGAAACTCCCTGAATGTCATCCTGAAGAAAGGTCGCTACTCCTTCCGGCGGGTGTGCGAGCTCCTGTACATCTTAGGGATAGACGAGACTGTGCTTCGAGAGCCAGTTCGCCACTCTATTCCCTTCCCGGTATACATGACCTACGCGCACCAGCCAGTCACGGCTAAGCCTCCTGCGAATGGCAACAAGTAAGGTGGCATAAGGGTGAACACGGTCATGTCTATCCTCAATAAGCTGAATGGCCAATTGCAAGTCTGATTCAACCACGATCTGGGGGTAACCAGATTTCCAAGCTATATCCAAACCATGATAAAAAAACCAAAGCTCTGCCAAGGCTGCAAGCTCGTCCTATCATGGCAATGAAACCGCCAATCCATCGCCCAAGCTCGTCCCTCAAAACGCCTCCTGGCCCAGCAGGTCCAGGATTCCCATTAGAAGCACCATCGATGTTAAGCTTTACCCACCCATCAGGAGGAGGCTTCCACGAAATGTTGGCCATCACTCGGACCGCCGCGGCTCTCCTTCCATTCGCCAACAGTGAGGGCGCTCGCCAAGCCTCGCTCCACAACTTGGCTTTAGCAACAATCGAGTGAGTCAAGGATGAAGGAGTGAGACTGGAAGAAATACCTTTAAAACACATGTCGTTCCTGTTCTTCCACAACAGCCAAACAATCATGCTGAAGAAAGAAGGCCACTGGATCCCCACATGCTCAGCCTCACCCGCTGCAAGGTTCATCCGCAACCAGTCCGCCGTGTTCGCCAAGAAGAAAGTCTGCTGTCTTTCACTTGGCACTTGCCTAACCCAGTAGTACGCAGCTGGGGGGCAGTCCCGAAGGATGTGCAGAATAGTTTCAGCCTGCCCGATACATCTCCCACAGTCCGCCGAATCAGAAATCTTCGTGGAGTGCCGGAGGGCATTGGTAGCAATTCTACCAAGGCTCACAAGCCAAATGATACAACGGACCCTCTCCGGAACTGGAAGGATCCAAATAATCTTCCAAAACTTGGCATCCGGATCGTTTCCTTCTGGCAAAAGAGACTGGTATGCAGTCTTTGTGGTGAAGCGGCCGTTCAAAGACAGAGTCCAGAAGAGGGTGTCCTCCTCGTTGGAGAGCTTATCCACCGCCATGCTAGTGATCTTCATCTGGATATCCGGTGGTAGAAGGTCATCGAATAGCTCCGTGCGCCAACCTCCATCATCAGAAATCAAATCCACCACAGTCTCATCCCTTCGTGAGTTGGGGATCTCCTCCTCCGCCAGATTTAAGAGAGGTTCCTGCACAATCCAAGAGTCATGCCAAAACTTAGTAGATTTTCCATTCTTAATTCCATGCGCAACCTCCCTTTAAGAGGGGAGAGGCCTTGTTAAGACTTCTCCAGGTAAAGGAATTTCCCTGAATAGAACAAAAAATATCCAGATTCTCCTTGTCCCGACCATACCTATCCCTGATTACCTGGGTCCACAGAGCATCTTTCTCTTTGAGGAGTCTCCATCCACTCTTGGCGAGCATGGCCAGGTTGGCATTCCTCACCGAACGAAGGCCAGCCCCCCTTGGTCCTTTGGCAGGATCATCTTTTCCCAACCAACTAAATGGAGCTTGGATTTCCCATCCTCCTCACCCGAAACAAAATCCCTGTTAATACGATCAATAAAGGCGCAAATTCCTTTAGGCAGTAACTCTGTATGCATATGATAAGTGGGAAGAGAGGAAATGATAGACCTGGATACAGTGAGGCGAGCTGCCAAGGACAAGCGTTTTGCTTTCCACGGAGCTAACTTCTTCTGAATGCGCAGAAGAAGGCTCTGGTATCTCCCCGCCGTCACCCGGCCATGAAGACCGTGTATGCCAAGATATCTTCCCAGCTCCATCTTCAGGGGAATCTCCGCTCTGGCGCTCAGAGCGCTAGCCTTTGATCTATCTACATTAGGGGACACAAAAAGCAATGACTTGGCGTAGTTGACCCGCTGCCCGGAGCTGGAACAGAAGTCGTCAAGGCACTACTTGATGATCCTTATCTGTCTCGTTTCTGCTTCTGCGAAGAGCAAGAGGTCATCTGCAAAGAAAAGATGGGTGAGAGGCGGTCCATTCTTAGTGAGCCTAATGTGCTTCCATTGTCCACTATAAAGGACCGCGTCGATCCTGTGAGATAAATGCTCCATGCATAAGACAAAAAGATAAGGCGAAAGAGGATCTCCCTGGCGAACTCCACGAGTGGGAGTGATGGATTGGGAGAGTTTGCCATTCCAAAGAACCCGCATATTGTTCTGCTCCACGCAATACATGATACAACTGATCCAAGAGCTAGGAAGACCTACTTCCTTCAGGGTATCACGAAGGAAATCCCACCGCAGCATGTCATAGGCCTTCTCGAGATCAATCTTAAGAATCATGCCTCCTTTCTTCCCTTTCCGCTTTCCCAGAGAGTGGAGCACTTCCTACACAACCATGACATTTTCTGTAGTCTGACGGCCAGGAATGAAGCTGCTCTGCCGAGGAGAGATGAGCTTCCTCATGATCGGCTTCAACCTGCTAGTGATCGCTTTTGTAATAGCCTTGAGGCTTACGTTGTTGAGCGAGATAGGTCGGAGTTGGGTCACCAACTCAGGGTGATCGACTTTGGGAATGAGCATGACCGTAGACTCTGAGACCTTGTCAGGAAAAGATCCCGTATTGAAGAAAGCCAAAGCCATATCTGTTAAAGACTTCCCTACCACGTTCCAGGCTTGTTGATAGAAAGCCGCATGAAAACCATCTGGACAGGGTGCTTGAAACGGCTTCCTCTCAAAGATAGCTTTGTGAATGTCCATAATGGTGAAAGGCCTTAGTAATGCAAGGAGATCCTCCTGAGCAAGCCTGGGAAAAGCATTCTTTGGCATCCTATCCTCATATGCCGAGTTGTCCTGCAAATAGAGGTTAGTATAGAAATCGAACACCATATCTGCCAGCTCCTGGGGGTCATCGATCCACACTGCTGCTTGGTCCCCAAGGGCGGTGATCCTGTTCTTGCGTATCATGATATTCGTTTGCTGGTGAAAATAACTGGTGTTGCGCTCCCCAAACTTAACCCAATGCTCTCTCGATCGTTGATACCATATCAGCTCCTCCTGCTCCAGAACAGTATCTAGATCGGCCTCAAGCTTGGAATGCAGCTTGGCCAGACCAGGGGAGAAGCTCTGTGAGAGGCGCCTTTCAACTCCTTGAATCCGCCCTAGAAGCCGCCTCTTCCTCTGTTGTACATTGCCGAAAAAATCCCTATTCCAATCTTGCAGAGCAGTGCTTAGGGACTGCAACGAGCTCGACAAAGATCTGGTAAGGTCCCAAGCACCTGCAATGGTATCCAAAAAGTCCTTGTGAGTAAGCCATGCTGCTTCAAATTTGAAAGTACGAGGAGGGTGAAGAGATTGCCCCTAAGAAGCAAAGGAGGTAAGGATGGGGTTATGATCAGATCTGAGACGTGGCAAATGGCGGACAACTGTATTTGGGAAGACCAAGTTCCACGAGGTATTGCAAAGGCTCCTGTCAATCCTGCTGGCCTTGTAGGTATCGGAGTTCTCCCCCTACTCCAGGTGAAATTTGGGCCAAAATAGCTGAGATCCACCAAATCAGCCCCATTGATCCTGTCGTTGAAAAGGCGACATCTCCGGAGGGTTGCCTTCGAGGCAGCCCCAGACTTCTCAGACGGTGATCTGATGGCGTTGAAATCCCCAGTAAGAATCCAAGGCACGCTGATCACTTTGCTCTGAGCAGTGAGACGATCCCAAAGAGGTTGTTGCTCAGCGGGGCGAGGAGAGGCGTAGACAGCAGTAAGAATCCATTCGGTCATGTGGCTCTGGGAAACGCGGATAGTGACATGCTGCAAGCAAACCGAAATGATTTGAGCATTGTACCGCCGCGCGTCCCAAAAGACCCAAATGCCACCTTGCCTCCCTTCTGCTTCAACCCGAATCACGTCCGGAAAGCCCAATCTATCACAAACAGCATTGGCCGCATGGCCACTGATCTGTGGTTCAAGAAGGATCACAAAATCAGGCTTGTACGATTGAATGACAAGCTTGAGAGCACGAGAAAAGTATTTACTCCTAGCGCCTCCCACATTCCAAGCAAGGATATTAATATTAGCAGAATATAACATAGTCATAGGAAGAAATAAAAACAAAGAGAAGGCAGGAAAAGAAAACAAGGAACGAAATCATCAGGAAAAGATTAATTCAGGGGGACAGCAACGATGATCGCATCCTCGACCGGAGCTCGTTGCTCGGGAAGCCTAAACGTATCCCCCTCCTTAGCTGATTTACGATCGTCCTTCCCCGCCGCGGCTTCGGTCCACGCATTGATCTCCTGAAGAGTGAGTGATGCCAGCCGAGTCTTGGATTTGACCTTTCTGTCCTTCACCGGAGACCAAATTTGTAAGGCCTTGGACGCTTGAAGCTTCACCAGGGTTCCTTTCTTTGATTGCCGCCGAGCCCCTTTTTTGTTTTTCGTCCGCTCGCCCGCCGATGGAGAGCTCTCCTCCGCCTGTCTAATTCTCTTTGGAGAGGAAGGCACAGCAACCACCTGCATTCTGGTTCCATTAGGCCCAACGAAGGCTTCGACCGAATGAGGGACAGAGGAGCCCGAAGTCTGGCCCACTGAAAAGAACAAGCCCAGAGGTGGAGATGGGCTTGAGCGGTTGGCGGTTTCGTTGACAGAATCCTCGGGCCTGTTAGCTTGACCTGAGCTGGAGGGGCGGTTGGTCTCGGAAGTGGGCCTAGACCTGTTAGCCCTGTTAGCAGCTTGAGTTGGGCCTGAGCCCAAGACCCCCTTGCCCAAAGCCCTTTGCTCTGCCATGACTTCTTTCCCTTTGTGAGCGTCTTTGGCCGCGGACGAGGCAACCAGAGTCTCCTTCCAATAAAGATTCCCTTTCCTTTCCTGAGTTAAAGGCCGTTGGCTCGCCGCCTGTTTTTTCGCCGTGGACACCGCCCCAAGATCCTCCTTTTCTTTCTCTGTTACTTTGATCCCGCCTTTCCCATTTTTATTGCTCAACCCTTTGACCTCGTCCCCTAAATCCTGATCTGTCCTTCCTTTCTTGGTGTGATCCCCAGAATTACGCCGACTTCTTTTGGAAACAAGCATCCAAGGCCCAAATCCCGGGTTCACCTCCTCTGCAACGGCCACTAGTGTGGCCAGTCTATGTTCGCCGGCGAGGGGTGGTTGATTCGGTGAGGCCGCCGGTCGGAGTTTGGGGCAGCAGTCGGCGTTGTGACCCACCTTCCTGCACTCGAAGCACACGACAGGGAGGTTCTCATATTCCACTTTTTTTTGCCAATGATCATCCAGGTAGATCCGAGGAACCAAAGGTTTCAACATGTCGATCTCCACCCGCCAGGTGAGCGAATTTCCTCCGCTGCCGATTCATCGTATGAAAATTCAATTTAATTGTGCGCCCGATGAGATTCCCCAGTGAAGTAAGAACTTCTCGGTGATAAAAGTGGACCTTTAACGCCGGTAATTGAATCCAAACAATCATGGTTTTTGGCAGAGGATCCTGTACCCCAAAACTTGGCGTCCATTGTTGCACCGCGAGATAATGATCGTAAATTACCCATGGTCCATCTGTGAGAGCTTTGAAATAATCCTGCTCATTGGACAATTGCACCAGATAAGTGGCGTCATCCAAATCCATGATCTCCAGCGCCCCTATGGGTCTCCATAGTCCTCGAAGTCGAGAGCAGAATGCGGAGCCCCAGCAGGCGCTCGACCAATGTTTTTTGCAACGGAGCGCATAACCGACCTTTGAATCCAGCAAATATACTCAAAGACGGTTCTCCATTGATCTGTCCAGGAACCAGATCGTTCTCCCCAACCGGAGTCCATTTCTGAGCAGCCTGCGCCCCGTGAGGCTCAACTCCAGCCAGCGCCCGAGCGTATGAGGTTGGTGGCCGTGTGGTAGCGTTCGGGACAATGCAGTCAGCTTTCGGGAGATTGGTTTCCACCGCCATTGGCGACGAATCTGATGTCATAGACGTCGTTGTTGGCTCATCCGTCGCCATCAGAGCTGTGATCGTACTTTCGGTGTTCGGCGGCCGCCCTGAAGGGGTCAGCGCCGGAGCCATTGTAGAGGTTTCAGCGAGAGCGTTTGAGAGCATCGAGAGACCCGAAATGGTCAAGTAAGGCAACACATGATTGACAAAGTCATCGTTTAGTAATGAAACTTTTCTAGTATTAGAATCATGTTCCAACACTAATAATGTAATGGCAACCGGTCGATCCTTTTATTTTTTCGGTTGACCACTATTTTTCAGGAGAGGTCAACTCGTTAAGTGAGTTGCGTCGGTACAACGAACCGTTATATACTTTTGGCGATGTTGGTGGTGGCGCATTTTGGTTCCCAGAATTGTTAGGTTTATAATATGGGTGTACTTTAATTGGATTCGTTGCTTATTGGCATATAGCCATATACAAACAGAATGTGGAGGAAGGAAAGGGAAACATGGAAATCTATCTATCTATCTATCTATCTATCTATCTATCTATCTATACATAATATTATGACAATTCAAAAGTAATTGTTTGCCACCTAAGCACTTGGAGAGCTCACAAATGGCCAAGGTGGATAATATTTTTACAAGAAGAATAATAGTTATTGATATATTTATGGAGCTATCTCTCTCTTCATTTAATATTTCATTTCCCTTTTATCCTTTTTATGTATTATATCAATGTACACAATAATAAATAATGTATGAAAAGTGACATATATTACATTTATTATCTCTAATTTATTTAATATTTATTTTTCTTTTCCAATACTTCTTTTATGTTTTTGTTTTTACTTTTGCATTGTATAGATGTACGCAACAATAGACTAATGTCTTTGAGTCACACATATAACTTTTTTCTCAACCAAATTTTTTTTAACTCATTTTTACAATAATTTACAAATATGTTACATTTTGATGAACAATTTATACAAACACACATACATAATAACATTTTATCGCGACAAAATAACGATAGAAATTAAAGAGAGAAAACAAGAAACGTTTGAATAGAAACTTGAACAAGCAATAAAATCTATTTCTTAAACAAAAACCTTATTCATTCTAATTAAGTGAAAAAATATGAATCATAGGTGCAATAATTTACAATGTATCCTAAGTTCAAATTACTAATATTTTTCATTTTTGCTCTTGATCGTGTTAATTTAGCAAACTCTACTGAAGTTTTACGTCATATGTTAAGAAATTTAATTTTCAGACTTAGAGTAATAAATTTTCAAGGATTATAAATAAAAATTTTCAAAATGACTTCGGTATGATTGTTGATGAACTTGACTTCATATCTAAAGCTGAGACACGAGATACATTAAAAAATGATACATGTGAAAGTTAGATGAATCTTTGCTAAACTGTATCTATCTATACATAATATTAATGCAATTCAAAAGTAATTGTTTGCCACCTAAGCACTTGGAGAGCTCACAAATTGCCAAGGTGGACATTATTTTTACAAAAAGAAAAATAGTTATTGATTTCTTTATGGAGTTATCTCTCTCTTCATTTAATATTTCATTTCTCTTTTATCCTTTTTTGTATTATATCAATGTACACAATAATAAATAATGTATGAAAAGTGACATATATTACATTTGTTATCTCTAACTTTTTTAATATTTATTTTTCTTTTCCAATACTTCTTTTATGTTTTTGTTTTTACTTTTGCATTGTATAGATGTACGCAAAAATAGACTAATGTCTTTGAGTCACACATATAACTTTTTTCTCAACCAAAAAAATATCTTATTAAAGCTCACTAAGTAAATTTTTAAGTTTTAACTCATTTTTACAATAATTTACAAATATGTTACATTTTGATGAACAATTTATACAAACACACATACATAATAACATTTTATCGCGACAAAATAACGATGGAAATTAAAGAGAGAAAACAAGAAACGTTTGAATAGAAACTTGACCAAGCAATAAAATCTATTTCTTAAACAAAAACCTTATTCATTCTAATTAAGTGAAAAAATATGAATCATAGGTGCAATAATTTACAGTGCATCCTAAGTTCAAATTACTAATATTTTGCATTTTTGCTCTAGATCGTGTTAATTTAGCAAACTCTACTGAAGTTTTACGTCATATGTTAAGAAATTTAATTTTCAGACGTGGAGTAATAAATTTTCAAGGATTATAAATAAAAAATTTTAAAATGACTTCGGTATGATTGTTGATGAACTTGACTTCATATATTAAGATGAGACATGAGAAACGTTAAAAAATTATACATGTGAAAGTTAGATGAATCTTTGCTAAACTGTATGTTAAACATCATGTGTTCATCAACCACTGACCTATGAAGCAAGATTAGAGAAGTTAATCATCGTAAGAGGTATGATCTTTCTTAGCAAACACATGCATTTTTTTTGCAATAAAACACATGCATAAATAATTATATATTTATGAAATAAAATAATTCGATAGAAATTCAATGGAGGAAGACTAGATCACATTATTGGATAAATGAAGATGATAAGTAAGAATAACTTTTCTCTCACTTATAATATGTCCTTCCGTCCCTTATTCTTTTTTACAATTGTTCATATTTCCCTTATTTTCTTAACATTTTATAAATTCCTATTAAAAACTAGCATTAATTACACTTAAAAATAATTAAACTCTTTTTAATATATATGCTTATATATTGACCATAAATGTGGCAATACAAAAAATGCATATATTAGTATAAGTAATGAAATTTTTATTTCTAAACAAATACCAAACATAAATAAATTTTAGAAAACGAAGGTTCTACAAGTTGTAAAATTATACACTAACGCACCATATTAAGATCAAAATCCGTATGTGGGTATCTTGGATTGAGATTCTAAAACAATATATAAACAACGATAATGAGTCTCAGTTAGTCCAAATTAAATTTCAGAAATTAGCAATTGATACATATTGTATAAGAGACTAAATACAAATAAGATCTTACAGTAAACTTCATGAACATTCAAAGTGTCAACTTTAAATTGGGATGAAGAAATTTATCCAATAATGAAGTATATATACAAAGAAACTCTCCGAAAGATGTCCTCATCTGAACAACATGGATTCATATAAGATAGAAAAAATTGTACATGGACGTGGTATACCTTTGTGACATGGTTTATGATTAGAGAATTCAAACAGTATAAGTGAATGTGCTAAGTATTGAGAATTTTCAATATATAGAGTATAGACACACCACATACGTACTCACTTATCAATACAAAATATAATAAATTTAGAAGGTCTAAAATAGTTTAAACATATAGATAAATTGAATTAATGTCAACGATAAAATGAAACTCTCCGGCCAACGGGCCGGGTAAAAAGCTAGTTTTTTTAAAGATTATAATCCGACTGTATTGCGGAGTGTGGAAGGACCGGATCTATAAGGATAGCTTTAATTAAAAACGGATCCCGTTTTCCCAAACAGTTTCCCCCTTTCGCTAGCAACATTTAGTTGTGCTCGGCAGAACCCAATGCAATTAAAATCTCAATTTTATATAAAAGAGGTTTGTGTTTAGAAGGTTAAAATCGTAAGTTTTGAAATTTTAAAGTGTAGATTTTCACTATGGGAAAGGGTTAATACTTTATTTTGGATTGAACTATGACCATATAATTAACTTTGGTCCGTGGTTTCAGAATTAACATATTGGCCTCAACTATGCAACATATAGACTCAATTGGCCCGACACATAGTTTGACTGTCAATTAGGACGGTCAACACCGTTGACCATTAGTCAACACGCCATGTCATTAGCTCGTCGGCCTAAAAATCATTAAAAAATTCAAATTTAAATTATTTTCCTAGTTTTTAATGATTTTTAGGCTGACGAGGCTATGACATGGGATGTTGACTAACAGTCAACGGTGTTGACCGTCCAAATTGATGGTCAAACCATGTCTCGGTCCAATTGAGTCTATATGCTGCATAATTGAGGCCAGGATGTTAATTTCTGAAACCACGTGCCAAAGTTGATTATATGGTCATAGTTCGTGGCAAAATAAGTTATTAACTCTTTCCCTTACAAGTTTAGTCAAAATCTACTTACAAGCGTTTTGGTGACATTAAAATGTAAAAGTTTAAATTTTTAAATTTTAGAACGTGATTTTAATTATATTGGCAGAAGAATTATTATTCTACCACTAATGATAATGAATATGATCCAGATTAAAAAAGGGTGAAATGAAAACAAGAGGAGAGTGGGAACTGACTGACAGCCAACATCTGCAAATTCTCATAGGTAGCCATGGAAAACAACAATAATAATCTCTGATCCGAACCCAACCAGCTCATTTATGTTAGATATACCATGTGTTGTGGGTTGGAACCGGCATGGCATGGACTCCACACTTAAGTCATGAGAGTCCATTACTAGGTTTTCTTCTTTATTCTTCCATTTTTACAGATTGTAATTCATGTGATTCAAATCTGTAAGATGTGTAAGCATATGATCTGGTATCAGACAGATCATTCCGACGCAAACTTTGGTATAAGCTAGTCTTTAGGAATGACAATAGGTCGACTTTTGCCAAACCAAAACCCAAACTCATGGGTTTATTCGTAAAAAAAATTTTGGGGTAAAATTTATTAGGTTTGGAATACTTATATCCAACCCAACCCGTTGGGTACCCGTGTGTTTTGTGGTAAAAAATTTACAAAAATAAGTTCCTATAGAAATAAAAGTCAAACATCAATTTGCCCATACATATTATCCATACATATAACACTAGTCTAGAAAATTCAAACAAATCACAATTACACTAAATAAAAGCACACAATTTTTTTGTTTTTCATTCATTCCCTTTTTGTTTGTGAGAGAGTAGCACAGCAAACCTAAAAACATGGTGTGTTCAACTTCAATTATTAATTTATCCCTCTCACTTCTTTTGAAAAAAAGGAAACATTACCTTTGTGAGAAATAAAATTAGGGTAGGGTTTGGAGCGAGTTAGATTAGGAAAAATTACAATTTGGGTAGGTTTGGGAGAGTAGGGCGACAAAATAAGTGTGGACTGGTATCCATAGGTCGGATATCTCTAAACCCAAACCCAATCAAACCCGATGAATAGTGTATCGAGTTTAAAT